ATTATGGAGAATATATCAAAGTTTTCGAAGCAAGTAGTTTTAGACGTTGATTTTAGATTAAAAAACCTAGAAAAACATTAAATAATATTATATAATGAACGACAGATTAACATCTTTATATATTTTTTTCTCCAATATATTTAATTCATACATGTTTGGGTCTTTAATAGTTAATGTAGTACAAAAAAAATTTCTTGTCATATTAGATACTAATTTTTTATGTGTCTTTTATTTACTAATTTTTTTAAACTACTATTATATATATTAAAAAAATTTGGGCCCCTAATTTTTATGGCCCCTAGGCATACGTCCGGCCCGCCCTCCTCCAAGGACGACCCTGCTTCCTTCGCTTGTCAGGCGACATATCTTTCACGACTAAGGATACGTTACCCATAATATGTGAGATGCAACTATGTTGAAAAGACAATTATCTTATTTGCAAACGTATCTGGGCAGGATTCAGCAAATTGTATTGATCGTGAAATATCATTGAGAAATAGGAACCCCTAAATATAATGCCAATTCAAGAAAGACTAAAAGAAAATCACTTCTCATATTCCAATTTTGTTCGAACTTGAGAATCAGACAGAGGAGGTTTTGGACTTTGGGGAGATTCAAACTTACGAGGTTTAAGAGAACAATAGGTCGATTCAACAACCACTATAAAATAGATGAACATTATCTAGAAAAGACCAATGCTTTGGTAGAATCTGATATTTTTCAAGAAAATACAACGGATCACCTAGAAAATACCTGAATAGGTAATTTGTTATTGATTTCATGAATTACCCACCAACAATTTAACCACCGACTTTTGTGACGGTTTTGTGATGAGTCATTCTTTAGTGACGGATTTCCCAGGGAAAAATCTGAAGATAAAAATCTTCCATTTGGTAATGTATGTAGGTGAAACCAGTATTATCAAGAACCATGGAACTCGATGAAGACCAAGAACCAAGAAAATCGATGAAAAAATAAAAAATAAAAATAAAGCAATTGATATTACCAGAAAATGGAGAAGATGAATGGACGAGTTATAGATTACCAAGTCTCTAATCTACTGAAGAAATTCAATTTTCTGTATACTGATTTGAACAATTTGATTGAACGTACAGAAAAGATGTAACCTAAAAAGTATGGACAAAATACAAGAAAGGCTCTAGATACATAAATAGCTAACATATATATATATATATATATATATATGTCGTCATTAATTAGGGTTTTGATCTTGCATCTTAAATGATGAAGTTGCCAGGAAGGTGATGGACGATGAAAACAGAAAGTGATGTAGTACATCTATCCATATGTAATCGTGATGTAAACTATATCGTCACCTTCTCATCATTATAGTTATGCCACTAACTCATTATTTGCAATATCTAGAGAGAGAAAAAGAGGGTAGAGAGAGAGGAATTGGTAATAAATACATGTTCCACTACATAACAAGGAACGAACTGAGTGTTCCCTTCCAAAAACGACATTTCTATATTGTTAGGTTTCTCTCCTTTTTTCATCGGAATTACACAAGAAGGACAACACCCATGTAGTAGTGTACTACTACTACTACTAGCTTTTAACTTCTTCATACACACAATTTCAACAACAAATTAAGCATCCCCATCTCTGAAAAGATCAAAAAAACTAATGAAAAGGAAATAGAAAAGCAAAACACCCCATACAGAAAGAACCGAGACTTAGAAATCCAAGATTTCAAGGAAAAAAAGCCCTAAGATTAGGTCGTAATTAGTGATTTTCGTTCGCGTTTTCTTTAGGTATCTAGATCAGCTTACACGCACCACCGGCTAAAGAGATCTATGATGCTCAAGGATATTGATGTTGTTTGTTCTCTGTCTCTTTACACTCCCAGACGAAGAATCATCCCCATTTGTTTTCTCCATTACTTGCTTAAGGGCTTCTTGGATCGTGTTTATCGAATAATTCACCATTTGCTGATCATCATTTCCGTTTAAATTGTGATCTTCTGCAGTGATAAACAAAACGTTTTTCACACGTCCCCCCAGGGTTGTGATTTCGGCCTTTAGGGTTCTCAGTCGAAGGGCCTTTAAAGTCTTGATGAGATCTGGTAAGAGATCTGATCGATCCTCACAGCATAATGAGGCCCTGATCACAAGTTTACCATCTTGGTCAGATGCATTATCCACAGTTAACTCGTCAATCTCTGTGGGGACTGGACTTTGTTCAGCAATTATAGATGTCTGACGCTTTAGCTCCTTCACGTGTTGTATCACTTCAGCTAGCAATGAAGCCTTGTCCGTCTAATATACATACATATACATATAAATCATTAGTAATATGAAAACATGCAGATTGTTTTACAAGTTTGCAGTTCATATAAATATTCTTCAGATAACTACACAAATGCTGTTCATATAAATAAATAGAAAAAGAGAACGACTGAAAACATCTCATTAATTGTTTACTTTAGTAACAAATTCAGATGATAAAATTTTCACTAATATGTTGCCTTATTAAGTTTTTTTTTAATATTACATATATAAATTTCTTCCATAACTGAGTTGTCGCAATCTTAAGTTATGTTTTACAGTAGAAGACCTTCACGCCAGTGATGCTTGCTAGGCCTTAAAAAGCATGCAGTTGTCATTAAAAGCATATGTATCAGCTAATGAACTTAAGAAGTCGTATATGTGATGAATTTAAGTGTTTAAAACTTCAAATTAGATCAACAGTAATCCATTAATTAGCTCATTTTAATTTAATTATCACATTCCAGAAAGAAGAAACACATTGAACATGATTCTTGATGCACTATATTTTCTGAATCTCAATGGAATCGAACACGAGTTTTCATACGATTTAAACATAAATTAAACATGCATACCCATGACACAAGACACTATCCTTATAATCATTATACCTGAATTGCTTGATATGTATCTATGAACATGTATATAATAGACCCATCACCTAGATTCGTAATATTTGATGTCAAAAACACTCAATCCGCTCCGATTTGTGAATGAATGTGGAATGATCATCATTATGTGAAGAAGAAGAAAACAAAAGATGGTGGGTTCTTGAGAGATAAAAAAAGAGAGTTGAAGAATTCAAACTGCAAGTTATAATGAGTGTTTTGGTAATGATGGAGTTTAAAGCATGGGCGTGGGTGTATAAACACGTATATAGTGTACGTTTTATGTGATGACTGACACAAGAATGCTTAGTTTGTCTGGTGTTGTTAGTAGGAGATCAAAAGTGTGGTTTCTTTTCATAATTTTTTAGACTTCAAAAACACCGGCAACAAAATTTTCATTGCAACCTTTATAGCTGCTCATTGGTTCCTCTTTATATATATTGTCAAAATGCCCACATTTTCTCTCACCAACTTCTCAAGAAATCTTGATAGATTTCCACCAACAAAAGCATAAATCTTTCGTACAATTCAAGTGTTGCTTGGGAGATCGATCATTACGATTTAGGTAAACCACACCGGAAGATACTTAGAGTACTTGGTTCATTAATTTAGTAGATTATGTCATATCATTTTTATTTATATTTAAATCGTATGATAAATAACGATAATTTTTTCAGATAAAGATAGAAAAATAGGTTAAACGAAGGGAGTCTTACTTTGGTGGTGCTAGGAAGTAAGCTTCGGAGCTTTGCAAGATGATTGTTGATTCGTTCCCTACGTCGTCGTTCGGCTTCGCTATGGCTTTTCGAAGCTGCTAAAGCTTTAGCATCCATGATCTCTTGAGCAGTCATCTTACCCATTTCTGTTTGGAGCCCAAACGGGCCGGATCCAGGTTGGACCATCTCAGATATGAGTCTTAAGTGATGATCTGACGACGATGTACCACCTTCATACGCGAACTGCAAGCCACCTGGTACCCTTCTGTTAAACAAACCGCCGTAGCATGACATCGGCGGAGGAGGTGGCGGTGGTGGAGGGAAAAGAAACGGGTCGTGGTCTCGGGTTGGGTATTGAAGAAGCGGGTTAAAGTTGCTGTTTTGGTGGAACACTTGAGGTAGGGTACTCCATGATGAAGATTGCTGATGATGATTCGAGATTGGAGAGATTTCTGATGATGATGATGACGACGGGAACATTAACCTAGTGTTGCTATACGAATAATCATTAATACCCATGCTTTGTTGTTGAATTTCTTGAAGGATTAATTGTTGTTCTTGAAACCTTTGAATATTCTGATGATGATGATGATCACCTTCTTCTATAACTATCTCTTCTTCTCTTTTAGCACACATAATATTTTACCTCACCACCACCCAAAAAACAACCCACCCTTCTCTATACGCATTAATATACGAACATACACACACATGGGTAGAATTGTAAGTTAACAAATAAAGATTTGAGAAGGAGTGTTTAAGAAAACCCTAAAAAACTTGGCTTTAAATCTAATTAACCCAAGAAGTTAAACCAAGAAAACATAAAAGAAAGGGAAAACTTGGATCTTTGATGGTATCTTGGACACTCACCTTATGTTTTGCTTTATCTCTCTAAAAAAGACTTGTTCTTGATGATTTTCACTCTCTAGAAATGGTAGGTTTTGTTTTGCAGCTAGATTGATGTGGGGAAGAGGAAGAGGGTGGTGGGGTGGTGACCCTTTTTATTCTTGTAAACAATAAAGTAAAAAGGCTTTAGCTTTTGTTCCTTGCGCTAAAAAATTGGTTTTCTTTTTTGTTTTTTCTCATATTGGTCCCTCACAATCCACGATCCTATCTCTCTCTCCCTCTCTCTCTCTCACTCTAATATATGTATATATATATATGTATATATCTTACCCACGCACACTCTCTCTCCCACTCTTCTCTCTCTATCTCTATGGGGAGAGCGGGGACATTACCTTTCCTTTCTCCTTACGGCATTAATGTCTACCTCTTTTCTTTCACACTATCCATTTCTGTAGCTATCACACTTGTGCTTTATGCTTTGAATACTAACAAAAAATAACAATATTTTTATAAATCTTCTAACCTACAAGTAGATACATAAACATTTATATATTTATACACACACTATATATATATGTTGCTTTATGATTGGTTCAAAGTGCATTATGAGACCGTGTGAGTGGTGGTGCGGCATGAGAGAGAAGGGTGGTTTGGGGGAAACACGAGCAGAACACAGTGAACACACAACACACAGTTTGTCGACCGACCAAAGACAATAACGAAGATAAAAGCACACATAGAGAGAGAGAGAGTAATTATGATGGAAAGAAGAGCTAACAGTATGTAGCTTTTCTTTGGTCTCTGGCCTTTGTTGTTGATGCCTCGATCGGTCAAACACATTTTCCATTCTAAGGTAAAAAGAAAGCTATGTATTTCTTCTAGTATATGCTTTTTTGTACTTCTAACAACAAATTGGTGGCAAATATTTCATTTTGAAGCAACAAATTGCAAAGTGTACGTACGTACATTAATATTCATGAAAATTATGGTTATTTTGTAACGAATCAAAAGACAAATAAAATGTGTAAAAGTATCCTATTGAACATCAACACGACACACCATCTTAATGATATCAGATTTTCTCTATAATGCCTTCGCACATTTGAGGATATCGTTCAACTATGAAACTACTTTAGTTTATAAATGAAATGCGATAAACATACAAACTATATGTGAAACATGTTTATCATTATATATTTCTAGACTTTTTAAAATAATGCCATTCAATATATGACATTATCATGAATCGTCTTTATTGTTATTATACATTTCTACTTTATCAATGTATGAAGTCTTGGATATGTTTGACTATTAGTTGATGTTCGGCAAAAGCTAATGAACAAAGTAGATGAAAAATGTAAAATAACAAAAATGACACTTTGAAAATTAGCCTACAAATTCTTAATAATATAACATGTTAACTAATCCAAACAAGATAGTAAAAGAAAAATATCATAGTATAATATGTCAATTAAAATAATTTTTTCAAATTGATTATATGCATACACACACACACACACACATATATATATATATATATATATTAAGTTTGTTAAAGCAAATATAGAACAAAATCTATGTTAAATTATAATTTTAAATAACCATTATATATATCATGAACAAAAATATAAAATGGTCAACCTCATCTATATCCTAATTAATTAATAATTTAAAAAAAATACAATTAATTAATAATTTAAAAAAATACAATTAATAATTAAATTAAGTATTTATTTAAATTCAGTTAATACAATTTTATTATCTATTAAACAAAATAATTATAACTTTAATTTGGGTATAACTTACTAAAACAATTTTAAAATTGATATCTTTGTTTTTTGATAACTAAATATATTGAATAAGAACAAAAAATGATATTAAAATAATTTATGTCTCATAATAATTCTAAATAATTACTAATTAACACTAATGTATTATTAAAACTAATTAATAATTTTCACTTAATATTAATTAATACTAGATAAGATATTAATATTTGTAATAATTATTTTTGTATTAATAATTAATATAAATTGGGGTATAATTGGAAAATGTGAAAAAGTTTCAGAATGCAATTCTAACTACGTTTTAATAAGCCAGCTCATGTGCATCTAAACATATATACTAATAAAATAAGCTAGTTTATGTTTACCAAACAACGTCTTTATTAAAATCTTCTCCCTACATTTTAAGACGGCCGGAGATCTTTAAAGGAACAACCATTCTATCATTTCAAATAAATAACATGTCTCCTTACAAATCTCATCTCCAAATTATATATATATATATATATATATGGAGTGATCAAATGAAAACCACTCAATTTGTAAAAACCTCAGTCCATCAATCATAATTTTTCATTTTGTTCATATTTTTGTAATTATAAGAGGTTGATTAATCATTTTCATTGTGGAATATGTTAATCATGAATATTATCATCTTCATTATTTTAATTTTAGAAAAATACATGAAACAGTTTCATTAAAATTTTATTAAGTAATATATGAAACAATTTTATAACCATATATTAAACAACTTCATCAAAAAAAGTATTATATGAAACAATTTCATAAGATTAAATAATTTCATGAAAAAATTTCATAAGATTACGACGGATGAGAATAGTTTTTACGGTTTTTACAAATTGGAGTGATTTTTATTTGATCGCTCCTTTATATATATATATATATATATATGAGAACAATAACTAAATAAACGAAATGATCAAATCATATATGATTAATCATTAATCTCATGTATAAAATCAAATATGATTATTCATATACTTGGTCATGGACCAATTTGTTGGTTCACCCATACATTGACCTATATATGACTGCAATGATATGACTGTTCTCATATTCATATATTTTAACCATATATTTATTTGAATATTTAGCATAATCTTTCTTATATATATATATGTTTTACGATGGATGAAATTGTATGTGAAAAAGGTGAATTTACTTTTGTCTTGTATAAAACATGATACGAATTTCATTTTCCCAAAAGTTGATATATGTTGAAGAGAAGGGGAAGAGGAAGGGTTTTTAAGAGAGAGAGAGAGAGGTGGTAGCATCCACGCCCAAACTCCTTTGTGTTTCCTGTGAAGAGGCTTGTAATGATTGTGTCTTGGAACACAACCATTCCCTTTATTTGTTTTATTTAATTAATTAATTAAATATTTAGAATATCGAGTAAATAAATCCTATTCCTACTCCTATTCCTATTCCTATTCTACACCTCGGTTTCAGTTCCTCACATTCTTTTTCCATTAATTTTCTAACCTACTATTTTATAATCTTTTAAATTGAAACACCAACAATATTTAATGTTCTCAATGCATTATTTATTAAATATTTCAATATTAAATAAATAATTTTTATCCATATATATTAATGGGTTGTTACAACTTGATGTTTTTCAAGAAAATACCAATGGATTATCCAAAAAGTAATTTTGTTAACGATTATCAACAATTTATTCACCAACTTTTGTGATTAATAACGGATTTTTCATAAGAAAAATATGCAGGTAAAAGTCTTCTATTTAGTAGTGTTTAATATTTGATAACGGTTGAACAAATACCAAATTGATTAATACATGATATCTTCTTAATGAAATGATAACAGTAAGATCATATTCTACAGTTTCTCAACAATTAGTGAATAACATGAAGTGTTCATAGTTTTTTACATCATGAGAGTCTTACTATGTTCTCAAAAATGCTTAAAGTGCCATTACACATATGTTTATGTTTACATTGTAAACATATGTGAATTTTCTTGCTTCAGACTGTGAAACAAAAACTACAGATTAAATATCATGAAACAAATCATGTAAATTAACATATGCTAATAGAGTGTTTTATGCTCTTTTAAAGAATTTTTAAGTTTCTACATTAACCTAAGCTTATATATAAGATGAATTAAATATGTGATTAATAATACTTATTTACTATTATACTTTTATTTATTAGGATTATTTTTATAATAAGTAATAATAAAAGGTACCTAGGATTTATTCGTTGAACAAAGAGGAAAGGCTAGGGTAAATAGATCCAACAAATTGATGGTAGGGAGAGATTCTCGTAATGAAATAGTGTGTATGATTTGGTTAGAGCTAAACTTGTCTTTTCCAATAAAAAGGACATTAAATGGCCATCCCTCCTTTCTATTTCTTTTTAAATGTACCATTTAAAAATGTTGAAACTTTTCTTTAAAAAAATAATAGAAAATAAATAAATCTTCAAATTTAAAATAAAAATATAGCATAATTGTTAAAGATGCTTTTAATATGACCAGTAACATAAAGACTATGTTTGACAAACTAACTAGTTACTTATAAGCTAGCTAATGAATAAATTACATTTGATAAAAATTAATTGATAAACTAAATGAAAAATGACCAAAAAAGACATTTTAAAAAATTAGTTAATTATAAAATTTTATAATATAATTAAAACAAATTAAATAACATAATATGTTAACTAAGAGAATTTCAAAATTA